ATTCGTAAATGTTGTTTAAACGCTCTGAGCATGACAAGTGCAATAAGAGATATTTTTTCACGTGGAAAATCAAAATGTACTGCGTCGATGATAATGGGACGTGTGAAATGGAAACCAAAGTATTAAACATCGATGTGTAAGTTAATGTAATACTCGTAATAACTTTTTTTTTTTTTTTTTTTGTAATGAGTGTTGTAAAACTGCCTCAACTCTTTTCGCCGACTGTCGTACAATCTAGGTTTAATTGATTGATTAATTAATTAATTAATTAGGGCGATCGACTTACTGATCTTTCTTTAAGTACTTAATACTTTATTATTCGAGAATCTCGAAATATCGGTTCATCGATCACACACGTAGTCTCTTAAGGTTATTTAAGGTTATTACAACTATTATGTAAGGTTTATTCAAACGAATAAGTTCGATGAACAGGGTATTTTGATTATATATATATATATTTTTTTTTTCTTCTAGAAAATTTTAAGGTTAGGTTTGTCCAAGCAGTTCTGTTATTATACGATTCGATTTTATTATATTCGTCTCTTGATTCGAATTAATTTTTAACGATCGAGACGATGTTATATTTCAGATATAACGAATATTTTTGTAGAATTTTACACGAATCTCTAGATCTATATAATCGCGATACCGTGCAATGGAAAATATAAAATGAGCAAGAATTGTTATCGTGTTGAAATCATTGTGTTTTATCTTTTTAAAAAGATCAAGATTAATTTTCGTCTACATTTAATTAAGTCTAATTAAGTTTATACGATTTTTCTATTTCGAAGTTAAAATTTTCTTCTTCCTTTGCACAGTATTATTACAATTGTATAATTGTATACTCTGTTTATTAAGCGAAATGTATATCGTATAAGTATATCGTTATTTAAAGGCAGCTAGCAGTTCAATTAATTACGAAGACACCGGTAAGACTCAATACCACCACCAGCTTGTACTTATATTGTTTTTGATTATTCACGCTCAGGATTATACACGATTTATCATCGTTTATAATGTTTTACTACTTTGCGACCATTTGTACAATTGTAAACACGAAGCAATAATTGCAAGACAATAAACGAAAAATAATTCAGATTCAACGGTTCAGAAATTTTATTTTCTTTGATATTCGCCAATGGTTGATTTGTGTTATCTTCATCAAAACTATTTTTCAGAAGAGGATAAGTGGAGGAATGATAGAATAAAGGCTCTGGAAAGCTTTCGAGTTTTATCTAGATTAAACAAGGAACAGTTGCCAGTAATGAAAAAAGATACATTTTTATGCGTATTAAAATAGATATTGATTTCAATTAAAGTGATAAAGAACGTTATCAAGCGAAAAATAAAGAAGAAAATTTAAATCTCTAATCGCTTTTTCTAATACAAATGCTGATTTATTCTTAGTTTCATTAGAATCTACGATTAAACTCGAACGATTCTTTCAAATTCTTTTTATTTTAGCATATTTTCTCTTAATCACGAATAACAAATTGTTTTAATTAATTTTCTTGATTAAAAATTCTAAATAATATTTTACATCGAATTCTGAATCACAAATGAATCGGTATTTATCAAAGATTTTCACAAAAATTAATTTTGCAAAGAGCCCATCCTTCGACTCTCTTACAAGATCTCTTACAAGAACTTACGAAAAATATTCTAAATGTCTACGACTTCGAATCATAAATGAAGTGATTAAAGATTTTCAAAACAATGAAAATTTCCATGTAAAAAGTTCGAATTACAATGCACCAGTGATTATCAAAGATTTTAAAAAAAAATAGAAACTCTTCACAAACGAAGGATCTATCCCTCGATTTTCCTGTAAAATCCATAAACCGAACCAATAAAGAAAATAAAACAAATTTTAAATGACATCTCCCAACATCGAATCAACAAATTAACCAGGAAAAATGGAAACCTCTTTAAAATCAGTTTTCATATTATTATTACAGAATTTATGCTTCTATAAAACTTATGAAACCTGAAGCCACAAAATTTTAAATGCTATTTCGAATTATAAATGAACGAGAAAGAATGGAAACCTTTTCACAAAAATCAACTTCCATACAAAAAATTTATCCTTTTTCCTATAAAACTCACGAAATCAGAAAATTTGAAATGCAACTTCGAATCAAAAATGGAAATCTCTTCACAAAAATCAGCTTTTATTCTAGAATCTATTCTATAAAACTCATGAAAAAAAATTTCAAATGCAACTTCGAATCACAATTGAATGAGAAAAAATGAAATATCTTCACAAAAATGAAGCCATAAAATTTTAAAAGCAACTTCGAATCACAAATGAACGAGGAAAAAATGGAAATCTCTTCACAAAAATCAGCTTTCATTCAAGAATCCTATAAAACTCATGAAACACAAAAATGAAACCACAAAATTTCAAACGCAACTTCGATTATATTCTATAAAACTCATGAAAAAAAACTTCAAATGCAACTTCGAATCACAAATGAACGAGGAAAAAATGGAAATCTCTTCACAAAAATGAAACCATAAAATTTCAAACGCATCTTCGAATCACAAATGAACGAGAAATAATAGAAAAAAACTTCTTTACAAAAATCAGCTTCTACACAAAGAATCTATTCTTTGTTCTATAAAACCCACGAAACCATAAAATTTCAAACGCAACTTCGAATCACAAATAAACGAGAAAAAAATGGAAAAACCTCTTCGCAAAAATCAGCTTCCACGCAAAGAATCCTTTATCTTATAAATTGAACAACACAATTGAACAAATGGAAAAAAATGTCTTCGCAAAAATCAACTTTTACGCAAAAGATCCGTCGACTCTTTAAAAAAAAAAAAAAATCTATAAACTCGATGCAACAACAGTTCCTCCAGAGGCAAGTGGTTCGCCGTCTGGTGAATTTCAATGCCGGCTCGAAGTCGCGCATGTGCCCTATTCGCCGGCTTCTTTCCCTGCCGCCGGACGAACCGACCCTTTCTCGTCTCAGTACCTCGTTAGTTATTGCCGGGACGTCGAGGGTCTCTCGCGTCGCCGCTACTCGTCGCTTGTGCCTGTGCGCCGAAATAACAAGTGAACAATTCTCCTTCGCTCCCCCCTCGCGCCACTCGAGTCTATCCACTCGCTCGTCTATCCTTCGCTCACTTTCCTAATCCTTAATTCGATCGAATCGAATTCAAGGCAAGATCTCGGGGTCGAAACAGATCCCGTCTCAAAACCGAATGAATCGCGAGGCGATCGTCAGGGGTATAAGGATGCTGAAGATCGTCAAGGCTGGCTCGAACGGATTAAGAAAACTGCACACGAGCAATAAGGTGCGTGGAACAGAGCGATCTCTCCACGCTGTCTCTCTATCTCTCTCTCTCTCTCTCTCTCTCTCTCTCTCTCTCTCTCTTTCGTCGCGGATCTTTCGTCGACGTTATAGTTCTTTCCGACTTTATCGATTGGACAGACTCGGTTTAGAGGATTGGACACTTCCAAGTGATTTTGAGATAGAATTTTCGAACAATTTCGTCGTTCTTTTCGTTTCCTTGTTGTTGGATATTTGTACAGAAGTGGAAGGGGAATTTTTTTTTTTTGAAATTTTCGAGAATTTCAAGTTTCTTTCTAGAAGAAGGATTCGTAACCTCGTTAGATTTGGGATTTCAAAGTAAAAGAAATACGTTGCGGCAGAGTCTTCGGGGGTCAGAGGATTTGTTGATTAGACGTTGGATTCTCTTTGGCGTTTCTTCTCTCGAAGGAGGAAGAATCGTGGCTGATTGATCAATCGAGAGGCAGAGATGACGTTTAAATGAAAGAGTGGAAATAAGAATTTTTCTATAAATTTTTCTTTCTTCCAAATTATGAAAGAAATATATGAGTGTTGAATAAATCGAAACACCTTTGAACGTAATTGTGTAATATCATATTTTCTTGAGATATCGAATTTTTGATGAAACGAAAAGGAAAAAGAAGAAAATGTTATTCTCATGCACATGAATATTAAAGGCAGTTCAAGGAAAAGGTATCGATCACGTTAAGA